GGATGTTGGGGGGTCCTCAGATGGGTGGCGGTTCCTGGTGAGAGTTGGGGAGTCCGGGAGGGTCCCTCACCCTGCCCCCGCCCCCAGACTCGAAGACGCTGTCGGAGGGGGAGCGGGAGCGACGCTTTGGGCTGCTAGAGGCGGCGAGCGACGTCCTGGGGTGGGCACTGCATGTGCTACCCCCCGACCACATCTCTGCCTGCATGCAGCAGTAGTAAGACCCCCCCAACCCCTCCGCAGGGTCCCCTAGGCCCCTCTGGGACCCTCCTTGGTCCCCCCAGCACCCTTTGGGTGCCCCTGACTCCCTAAACCTGGTTCCTGCAGTCTCCATCTCCTGCCCCACCCCCAGTTCAGGGTGCTGGGGGGATTGCTCCCCATTTGGAGTGCTGGGAGGTGACACCCCCCCCAACCCCCCCAGAGCCAAGTACAACCTGAACGAGCTGTCGCACGATACAGCTGTGGGCCTCATCCAGTTCGCGCTAGACTCTGGGGTGCAGGTGGCTGAGGTGGGTTTGGGGGGACTGGAGGGTGTGGGGGGTGCCCAGGTGCAGGCAGGGGGAACTGGGGGGGCCCTGGGCTGAGGGTGAACCCCACCCTTCTCCTCCCTCTGTGCCTTGGTTTCCCTCACTGGGCTGAGGATTTGGGGGGAGAGTTGGGGCTCTGGAGGGGGCTCTGCGTTGCTTTGGGGTGAATTTGGGGTGTTTTGGGGGCATGCGGGGGGAGTCTGGGATTGTTTGGGGTGATTTAGGGTGGATTTTGGGGTGCCAGGTGGCTTCAGGTTGATTTGGGACTGCTTTGGGGGTGCTTTTGAGGAGGGGGGGTCAGGGTGCAGCAGAGGGTTTGGCGGGGTTGAGGAGCTTTTGCAGGGGTTTTGGGGTGCTGGGGGAATGGCAAGATGGATCAAGGAACCAGGGGTGATTTTTGGGGAGCTGGGGGTGATTTTGGGGGACTGGGGCTCCCCCAGGTGTTTGTGGACACAGTGGGGCCAGCAGAGAAGTATGAGGCAAAGCTGCGGCAGCGCTTCCCGGGGCTGGAGGTGACCGTGCGCCCCAAAGCTGACGGGCTCTTCCCCGTCGTCAGCGCTGCCAGCATCTGCGCCAAGGTGGGCACCAA